AAAACATACAATCCTTGACCTTCTGAGTTTGGCTTATTTCACTTAATATAATGTTCTCAAGTTCCATCCATTTTCCTGCAAATGATGTAATTTCATTTTTCTTTATGGCTAAATAAAGCTACGCATATTGTAAAAGCTACATTATATATGTAAAATGTTTTCTTTATCCAGTTATTTGTTGATGGACACAGGCTGGTTCCATAGTTTGGCTCTTGTGAATTGTGCTGCTATAAACATGTATTACTCTAGTACACAGACTCTAATTCTTAGGCTAAATATTAAGGAGTGGTATAACTGAACTCTATGGTGGTCCATTCCTTGTCTTTTGAGGAAACTCCACACTGATTTGCATAGTGGTTGTACTAATTTACAATTCCACTAACAAAGTAAAAGTGTTCCTTTTCCTCACATCTTCTTTAGCATTTATTATTGTCGGTTTTCTTGATGACTGCCATTCTGACTGGAGAAGAAATCTCAGTATAGTTTTGATTTCCATTTTCCTAACTGCTAATTATGGTGAACATTTTTCATATATTTGTTGGCCATTTTTATTTCTTCTTTTGAGAATTGTCTGTTTAGTTCATTTGCCTATTTATTAATTGGACTATTTAGTTTTTGGTTGTTAAGTTTTTTGGGTTTCTTTATACATTCTGGATATTAATCCTCTGTGAGAAAAGTAGCTAGTAAAGATGTTCTCCCATTCTGTGGTTCTCTCTTCATTATTTCCCTTGCTACGCAGAAACTTTTAAATTTGATGCTATCCAATTTATTAACTCTTGGCATTATTTCCTGAGCTTTAGGGGTCTTATTGGGAAAGTTGTTGCCTGTGTCTATGTGTTAGAGTGTTAACCCTAAGTTTTGTTCTACAAGTTGGATAGTTTCTGGTCTAATTCCTAGGTCTTTGATTCATTTTGAGTTGACTTTTGTGCAGGGTGAGAGACAAGTCTCATTCTTCTACATAGGGATAACCAGTTTTCCCAGTACCATTTGTTACAATGGCTCTTTGTGGATTTGTTTTTGTGTTTTCTGTTCTGTTTCAGTGGTCTATGCATCTGTTTTTGTGCCAGTACCATGCAGTTTTTGTTGCTATAGCTATGTAGTATAATTTGAAGTCAGGTATTGTGATTCTTCGAGAGTTGCTTTGTTCTGACTTAGAATTGCTATAGCTATTCTGGGTCTTTTATTTTTCCAAATAAATATTAGGACTATTTTTTTCCAGTTCTGTGAAGAATGTCTTTAGTATTTTAATGGGTGGTTGCCTATTTTTAACAGATCTATTGAGATATAATTCATATACCATAAAATTCACTTACCTTTTACAACTTAATGATTTTTAGTATATTCAGAATTGTATGACCAACAACATTTCTTAATTTTAAAACATTTTCATTACCCCAAAAAGTAACCCCATAACCATTGTTACTCTCTTTTACCCCAATCTTTCACACCCTGGCAAAATTCTCTTTATGGATTTGCCTACATAGGACAGTTCAATCATGAAATATGTGGTCTTTTGTGACTGGCTTCCTTCACTTAGCATCATGTTTTTAAGGTCCATCCACATTCCACCAGGAATCAGTGCTTCATTCCTTTTTACTATAATTGTGTAAATATGCCATATTTGTCTATTGATTTATTCATCATTTGGATGGATATTTTGGATAGTTTTCACTAAATTAATTTCAATACTATGCAGAGAGAGACCTCCACCTCTTCCACCATGTGAATACACAGACAGACAACACCATCTACGAACCAGAAGCAAGCGCTCAACAGAGAGAGAAGGCACCATATGTGTAACAGAAAGGAAGCCCTCACTGGCACTTTGGATCCTGGATTTTGCTGCCTCCAGAATCCCAAGGAATATATTTATATTGCTCATAAACCACTCAGTTAATGGCATTTTTCCATAGCATCCCAAATGGACTCAAGACCCTGACCATTTATACAATTGGAAAAGAATAGCAGTCAGGAGTTTACATGGTAAGTTAATTTCACATTCAATGCTAATGTTCCTGTACAGCTGAAGATAGAACACAAAGAAGTGTTTGGGTCGCATAGTTGTAAAAGAATATTTCACAACAGATGACTCACAGCAAAGATGACTTATTAGAAAATGAATGAAGAGGGTTGGGAGCAGAGAATGCAGAGAACAATATTTGGGTCCAAGTGCACACATCCTGAACTGTCAGCTTCCTTTTCAACTTCCATTTTGCCTCTTCCTTCTTCTTAATAGAACCCTGACTTAGTTGGAGTGTCCCTCTGCCCCCTGATAAGCCATTCAATTGAAAAGAAGCTGATCCTTTCCTGGCTCCCAGGGCATGACCTGTTGGCTGGCTTAAGGATTCCCTCAGAGCCCCTTGCCAGTAGCTAATCCATAAATTGACTGAGATTGGATGAGACTGAAGAAAATACTGCTCCTACGTTGATGGAGAGATATTCTCGCTTTCTTCCTGGAAGCCTGTTGCCAGCTACTACTTGGTGTCCCAGACTCCTTTGTAACAGTGAGTGCCACAAGACATGGTAATTAACTATAGGAAAGGGTCTCCTAGGGGGTTTCTGACAGGCAGTCAGGACTGGGATGGTAGTTCAACAATGCTATCAAACTGCTGGCAACCTTCTTGCAGTAAACCAGCACAGGAGGAAGTGTAGAGCCAAGAAAATCTCCCCCCATTATACTACCCCCAGGTCTGCCCTACCATTAGGCTTCTATTTATGTGAATCAATAAAGTTTTTAGTTGTTGGAGTCAGGTTTGATTTTCATTTCTGTTACTTGAATTTGCAAGCATCCTAAAATCTATAGCAGGGAAGCAAACTCACAAAGAGACGTGAAAGAAATGGGGGAGGACAATCAAGAGAGTTCAGTGTGATCTGATCTGAGGGAAGATGGACTTTGACAAAGGAACAGAATCACTGAGAGTGCTAAGTGCAGCAGATTTATCAAGGAAGTGCTATTCCTATGCAATTTCTACTCTGGGTATGAAACCTCTTAAAATTAATATTTATATTTAGTCATCATATCATGGTTTTCACCTCTTTAAAGTATTCAAAGTCTAAGTGATGGCAACCTACTTTACAATTGGTTGAGATAATTATAAAGTATGTTTTTATAATGAAATATAGAATAAACGTGATCAAATAAGACTGTTTCATTGTAAGTGCATTGAAACTTCTTTTCTCCAAGTAGAACAATTAATCAGTGAAGTTTTATAAGTCTTATAAGATGTTGTTTCACAAAAATATTGTGAGAAATTTTAAACATATACCCAAAAGTAGGAAAAAGAGTATAAGAATGTCCACATCTCTATCACCCTGATTCTAGAATTCCCAATGGTTTGCCACTTCCTGTTCTTCCCTCCTGTTTCCCTCACATGTAAAATGAACTGTTTGAAATCAATAACATTATCTTCCACAAACACTGTATAAATATTCTATAATATTATCTTCTACAAACCATGTATAAATGATAGATTTCTAGGTCAGAATACAGAAGCCCATCTAACACTTAGGGTACGTGACATTTCTACATTTTGAATAGAAGATGGTATTATTAAAACAACGAGTAAAATTAACAATGAGTCCATTGATGAATCTAAGAATAATGAGCTAAAGTAAACTTCTGACCATACTTACCCAAATCACAAATAGTCAAAAGTTCAGATTTAGCCTACCAACATAAAAATTTTCCATTTTTATAGTTATTAAGTTGTAAGAGTTACTTAGTTTCCCTATCCTACATATCTGCCACAACATTTTCTAAAAATATTTATAACTTTTTTCTTTCCATAGCCTCAGGATCAGTGGTTCTCAAAGTGTGGTCCAGGGATACCTGGTGGTTCTCTAGACTCTTTGAGGGGGATTGGAAAGATCAAAACTTTCCAAACTAAGAAGATGTTTTTTTCTCTTTTTATGTTCATTTGAGCACAGATACACAGTGGAACTTTCTAGAGAACACATGATATATAACATCAATGGTCTAGTGTTTATGTGAAGTAAATGTGAGAATATTCCCAGTTTCTATGAATCAAATATTTAAAAAAGATTTGTAAAAATATACAACAATTCTAATAATCTCACTATATTTTGTGTTGAAAATGTAATTATTTTGTAAAAATGTTATTTATAATAATATGTAATGATGTTATTGGTATTTTTATTTTTTTTTTTTTTTGAAAGTATTGGAAAGGATTTATTTATTTATTTTTTTTTTTATTGTGGGTTGTTCAAAACATTACAAATTTCTTGACATATCATATTCCACACTTTGATTCAAGTGGGTTATGAACTCCCACCTTCACCCCATACACAGATTGCAGAATCACATCAGTTACACATCCATTGATTTACATATTGCCATACTAGTGTCTGTTGTGCTCCGCTGCCTTTCCCATCCTCCACCCTCCCCCCTCCCCACCTCTCCCCTCCCCTCCCCTCCTCTCTCTCTACCTCCTCCACTGTATAACCCTGAGGGTCTCCTTCCATTACCATGCAATTTCCCTTCTCTCTCCCTTTCCCTCCCACCTCTCATCCCTGTTAAATGTTAATCTTCTTCTCCTGTTCTTCGTCCCTACACTGTTCTTAGGACACTGCTACATCGATGTTCATAGCAGCACAGTTCACAATAGCAAGACTGTGGTATTTTTAAAGAATTCATACATAAAATGATATTTTATTTGTCTTAATTTCTAAAGATTACATGGGTAGATATAACCTATATAAACAAAAAATTCCTTGTCTGCTGAATAATTTTTAAAAGCATGTGGGAGTCTCAAGACTAAAAAGTATGAGAACTACTGTTCCAGATAAATTCCCTCCTTTATCCTATAGATGATACCTTTAGCTAACGGGATGAAGAGATTCTTTTTCTACTATTTTTTGAAAATATTACTGGGAATAAAATGCATCTTCTTCATGACATTTCTTTCCATGATTAACATTCTGATTTTGAGCAGGAAATAGGCAAGAGATTAGGTGAGGACAATATCTAAGTCAACACTCACCTTCACTAATTCTGTGTAGCCTGTCTCTCTTGGGGTCCACCATGGCTGGGCTCTCAAGCCATTCACATTATAGAGCGAGCGTTGCCAGACGGATGCGAAATGTCCTCTCTTGTGCCCGAGCTCATACCACTTGTATGCCTGAAAGAACAGCAAGACTGTGCTCAACACTACTCTGAATGAAATGAAGGACTGAATCATCTCTTAGTTTTACAGTGCACTTATACAGCACTAAATCAATTGCAAGTTGAAAAGATATTTAAGCCACCTAATCTATAGAACATTGTAGTTTAGCAACAGAGTTGGCTGATCCTCTTTGAGGTTTCATGGATGACTGGGATCTGCAGTTGGCTGTCATCACCTGTCATTGTGAGAGGTATTATACTACACATCTCTAAGCCGGGAAAAGATCAAATTTGAAATAGAGTTTTACTGAATATATGTGGCTTTTACATCATTATAAAGTTGAAAAATCTTGAGTCTACCCACCTTAAGTTGAGGACTCTCTGTGCTTCGAGAGATATTTAAATAAAGAACTTGACTGTTAAGTACCCAACTCTGTTCAGATCTGGTGAAAACATTACTATTGAACTGAGTTTCTGATTATGACCTTTTAGTGTAAATGAACACATGTATTTTATTTTCACTCAAGCTGTAAGCTCTGCGAATACTGGATGTTTCATTTCCCCACTCATTTTGTCTCCCCTGAGTGTCTAGCACACTCCAGGACTGTTTATTGAACAGATAAGTAACTTAAGACACCAGAGTGACAATGGTTATATTTTTAGTTTTCATTCATTAGTTCTGTTACTGTTTCCTTTAAAAGGAATAGTCTAAGATTTTAATGTTTACTTCAAAGACATTTGCATTTACTGAATCGGGGTGCTAAAATGGATAATGATTTCTTTTCATGTGTACTTTCTTTCCATGTCCATATTTAAGGAAGCTACTCCATCTACCCCAGGGTAACAGAGTATAAGCTCCCCACTAAATTAAGTACACAGAAAGGAGACATTGTTCTGAGTTGACAAAAAAATATAATGATATCCCATTTTCGATTTTTAAAAGGGAACTTTTGTTTCTAATAAATATATTTTTCTGCCATAAGGGATAACATTTGTGGCTCTAGGGTGGTTGTAACATGATACAACTGACCTCCTAGAAGACTAGCTCAGGGACGGTTGTGGAATGCCTTGCTCCATATGGCTCCTCTAAATGATCCCCAGGCCAGCCATATGCTCTCAAGTGGCCCTCCTACATGCTGCCCCTCCTCCGATGCACACTCCATGTCTTTGACATGGAAGGTTTTCCTAGTGGTACACTGAATATTAATTATCCTCTCTATTTCTACGAGTCTGATCTAGTGATCACTTTTGAAGAGTGTATATTCTGATCAATGTATATTCTGATCAATAAAAAAAGCATTTAGTATCAACTTGAATATATTCTTTAAAAAACTATGGATCTTTTATATCTCTAGATATAAAAGTATTAATATTTAAAAGCATATAAATATTCATATTTCAAATTTTTCTTCCTAAAAAAGTAAAAGGTGATAGTAATGCTGCCTTATGTTTTCAACAGCACTTTACAGTTTACTTTTATATGTGTAATGTCACTTGATATGTCCAAATATTCCATCTTAAAAATGTTAAAATCAAGGTTTATAAAGGTTAAATATCTGTATTAGAATTCACAGCTCCTTCCAGTTTGTTTAACTCTCCATCTATATTAGTATTATTAAAAAAAAGCTATCAAGAAATGTTTTTATTTAATTATCTTTCTCATTAATGTCTCAAATTAAACACACATACTAATCATTGTTATATATTTTCCTTGATGTACACGTAAGTTGTAGAAGAGTTTCTTTAAAAATCAGAAAGTTAAAATGGCTGATTATTGTAGGATTAAAAAAAGAAGAAGAAGAAATTCCATTTACCTTTGAGGTTAATTTGACTGTGTGATTTTGTCCAATTTGAATTTAGGATATTATTTCCTAAGCCATTTGCTTTTTGGTGTTAAAGTGAACAGCAATATTAAGTATAGTCAATGATATTTTGGAAAGTTTTACAACCCATTCAATTTTGAGTCATCAGCCATACATTTTAGGGACTAGGCATAAGTCATTACAGGAAAACCAAAAAAGCAAACAGTAGAGCTCTGGTTCAAGAGCTGCTGTGCCTTGGGTTTTCTGTCCTCACTGTGTGAATGCCTGGGGAAGTCTGTCCACTCAACAGGAGCACGTTTGTCCGGAAAGTTTCTTCTGACACTTAGAGTAAGTACGCCTGTGTCAAACAGGACCCTTTGTTTTGCACTCCTCTGTCTCTTAACATTTGGGAGAAACCAAATCATGAAAATGACATGTCAGGAGTTTTCAGAAATTGCCTTCATTGATACATAGGGGATCCAAGTGAATTCCCCTTGACTGTTTTTTAAATATCTAAACTACCTTACAATAAAAATTGCTAGAAAATCAACACTCAATTTAGAAACCTCTAAAAATTTCCTCCTTACTATTTATTATCTTATCAGGAATCATATGCATCTGATCACAATTACTAAGATAGACAGTAGGGGCTGAGGATGTAGCTCAGTGATAAAGCACTTGTTCAGCATGCGTGAAGCCCCTGGTTCCATTCCTAGTACAACAAAAGAAAACAAACAAATGAAACAGACAGTAAAACCACCAGGGCTATTTTCTTAAATGGGTTTATATCAATGTCATCTCTACTTTTATGGAATTATTGCTATGTGTGGCTTTGTTTCTCATACCCATATCAACTCAGAAAAACCTGGGTCATGTCTGTGCAATGGGCCTGCCAGTGGCCTAGCTGGACCTGCTCTGTCTGTGATGTGCTATGCTGAGGGACTGGGAGACACACTCTTGATGAGAACAGCTGGCTGCAATCTGCCTATGGAGGATTATAAACGCCAGTGTGTGAAAAGGGACTTGATTTGCACACAGGTTTTTTGAGCACAGAGTAGCCTAGAAAAAAAAGTGAGACTAAAGAAACAAACAACAGTCAGGTTCTTACAGCTGTCATTGAAGTAGCAGGTGACACTCATGAATTAACACCCATGCACAGGAAGGGGAGTGAGATGGCTGCCAAAGAGCTTAGAAAGCCAGTCCCAGTTCTTGTCCTGAATAGACTGAGTGAGTGGAGGGAGCAGAAAATCTGACTCAGATCTTGATCCTGGGAAGCTGGCAATATCATGGAATAAGAGATGGAACCTAGGGGGAAAACAGCTTAGAGGAAGACTAGTGAGTTGTCTGTGTGACATCCGTGAGATGACAATAAGCAGGCAGCAGACATGAATCTGGACCTGGAAACTGAGACTAGATAGGAAGCCAGAATGTGGATTTAGAAGTCATGGAAATCCCAGGAATCCTTGTCCACTGCAAACCCCTGTCCACTGTTACAAAGATTTTTCTAAAATCTATTTTTCAGCTATGGATTTGCTTCTTATGGTGCATCCTCTCTCAGCCAGAGCAGTGCTCCATGCATAACAACATTTAGTGTGGCTGCCTCTTGATATGAAAAATCAGAAATGGAGATTCAACACCCAGAGATATCAGAAATATCAAAAGAGGTTCTAGAGGCTTGTCTCTGTCCTCCTGTAAGCATGAGTCCTTCTGAACTTTTTAAACTCAAGAACTGTGTTGATCATTATCATATTAATGATAATTAATATGCTGTTAGAATAGTCCCACGGGTTCAAGTACCAAGCCCTTCACAAGTGGTTAGTAGTGAGTTCTTTGTCCTTGAAGTAAGGGCTGTTTTCATCTAAGATCTGAGATAAATCAGACTTCTTTTATCTATCTTTGCCCTAGACCCTGAAATGTTCAAAGATAAATTAATTAGTGACAATTATATTTACAGTAGTCAGATATGAACATTTATCCAGTGTTGGACACTATAGCAAAATCTTTCTTCTCCCTGTCATTCAAAGGAAAAATGACCATTTACAACTAAAAGAGTGAAGAAATACAAAAATGATAAGTAACCAGAAATTTCTTCTCCTTTCTTCTCTTCACTGAATTGTCTCATTCTATTTTAGCTGACTGATCAGTAGGTTAGAGAGGGAAAGATACATAGAAATGTATACAGAAAACATCACCAATTATCCAAACCACTACTACTACTACAAATTTGTTCATGTCTCTAGGAGGCAATTACCCATCACAAAGCCCCTTGCTTCTTTGAGCCCCCAATTGTCCATATGGTCCTATGACTTCATTAATTTTAGAAATCTAATGCTGTGTTATCCTTAGATGACACTTTAATGCATATGTGGAATGCAACAGTTACAAAGATTCAGTGCCTCACTTTGTCTTTTCATTAACTGACTCTAAAGACGGCTGAGCCTAGAACTCCTTCAACAGTGCAGGAGAGGTGGGCTTTGCCACATCATTTGTGATGAACTGTGAGAGGGCTTTGAAATTTATAGCACCAGATGTCATGACTAAAGGTCCGATATCACATTTACAGGAGCTGACAACTATACTTAAGAAAAAAGAAATAATCTCAAAGAAAACATGTAACTTGTTGTAGTTACACCATTCTTTTGTGTCAATGCCTGTCATTACCCTAGCTACAAATGTTCATCTTAAACTGTATTAAATATTTCAGAAGGGAAGCTACACAATTAACCATTAGGATCAGTGTGCTCAGGGATCAGCAGAATAAAGACTGTTTTTGAAATTTCAAATAAAACAAAAATGAATCTGGACAAGCTATTAAAATATTTTAAAAATTTAAACAGTTTCAGAAACATCTCTTCATTTCACATTTTTAAAGGCACTTTTCTAAGGCACCATCTATCTACACACACACACACAGAGACATACACAAAGACAAATACATTCAAACATGCTTTCTATCTCATGGACATAGACACACACATGCACACACACACACACACACACACACACACACAAAACACAACAATTTAGAAATCTTTCTTGTGATTATTTAGCTGATTGTTTGAAAGAAACTATAAAAGCCAAATCTCAAAAATCTTTTAGAGGATTAACTTGGAATTGTTAGGTTGTTTCAAACACAGTTTAAATAGCTAAATGGTTAAATTGTTGTTTTTAGAAGGGTATTATCAATTGCAACATTCTAGAAATGATCATGCCTACTTACACCCTCTCCTCTATTCAGGAGAACAAGAAGTCACAAACGCATTACCTCTTTATTTCCAACCCTCTGCATGGCATCTCCCAGGTGGAAATAGAATCGCCCATCATCAGTGCCTGGATCTCCAGATTCTATTCCTTCCTATAGAAAGAATAGTGTTAGTATTTGGGAAAAAATTAAATACCAGATTTAATTCCTTGACTTACATAAAATGTCCTACCTATGAAATATGGTATATCATACAGGAAAGTTGAAGAACCAAAAATGCATCTCAATACTAACATTTGGAATGAGGTTACTGGTTAATATTTACAATGCAAAAATAAAGATGTCATAAAACTAAATTTAGCATTAATATATCATTAATTAGTACTGAATAGTCCATAAAATCAATATGCTATTTTGTTTAACACTGTATGGCTACAATCGTATTTTAATATTCCAAATAATATCTGTGGCTTGGTATCTCTCACATTTATTTTGCTTTCCAAATCTGACCATATGTGATCTAGTATCTTTTTATTCCTGAATCAAAATGTTTAATTTCTCATGTCTGAAGTGATGGCAGCCCAATTCAAGTAATATTTATTTCCTCTCAAAATAAATGCACTAATCTCCAGGATATATAAAGAACTCAAAAAACTTAACACACACACACACACACACACACACACAAAAAAAAAAAAAAGACAACAAAAAAAAACGAATCAATAAATGGGCTAAGAAGCTAAACAGACACTTCTCAGAAGAAGATATACATTTGATCAAAAAATATATGAAAAAATGTTCAACATCTCTAGTATTTAGAGAAATGCAAATCAAAACTACTCTTAAAATTTCATCTCATGCCAGCAGAATGTCAGTTACACCATTCTTTTGTGTCAGTGCCTGTCATTACCCTAGCTGTACAATGATACAGAATGTTCAAATTCTCAAATAAGACAAGGAATTGGAATTATTTTAATAAAACTGTCTTGGCCAAATAAAACACACAAACTATTTGCAATCAGCGGGTTGCTGTTTGGAATCTGATTAGACTCATGTGAAAGAAAGGGATCACAGAAGAGGCAATTGGTGCAACCAATCTGGAAAGCAGTATGGAGATTTCTTAGAAAACTTGGAATGGAACCAACATTTGACCCAGCTATCCCACTCCTCTGTCTATACCAAAAGGACTTAAAATCAGCATACTACAGTAATGCAGCCTCATCAATGTTCATAGCAGCTCAATTCACAATAAGATACCCTTCAATAGATGAATGGATAAAGAAATTGTGGTATGTATACACACAATGAACTATTACTCAGCCTTAAAAAGAATAAAATTATGGCAGTTGAAGGTAAATGGATGGAGTTGGAGAATATCATCCAAGTGAAGTAAGCCAATCCCAAAAAACCATCTGATAGTGGATGCTGATCCATAATTGGGGGGGGGATGGGAAAAATGGAGAAACTTTGATTGGGCAAAGGTGAGGGAAGGCTGGGAAGGGTGCATGGGGGCATGAAAGATGGTGGAATGAAATGGACATCATTACCCTAGGTACATGTATGACTGTACATATGGTGTGACACTACATCGTTTACAGCCAGAGAAATGAAGTTATGCTGCAATTGTGTACAATGAATCAAAATGCATTCTGCTGTCATCTATACCTAATTAAATTAATTAATTATTAAAAAAAAGAATAAATGCATCATGATTTTTAATGAAAATTTTAATGAAACAAATGGAAAGATTAAAGCCAATTTGGATCTTAGAAAGTAATTCTTATTAAATGATTCATATTCTAAAACATTTAGCAGATTTCTTCCAACTCCCACACAAGGATTGAAATTGAAATTTATGTTAAAAAAAGAGTGAGAGAAGAGAGAAAATATTAAAGCAAGAGAATGAATTTATAAAATCAAAAGAAGGACAAGTGTCAAAAATATTTAAATGTCAAGGACTTTTTTTTTCTAAAAATGTGCATCTTTGAGGCCTCTTCACAAGAAACCCATTATCTTTCACTAAGAAGAAATTTTATTTGCATAATACTGAAATTTAGCAAGCAACAGGATAAACTGATTGGCACACAAACATTCTTGTTTATGAATTAACTATCCTGGTTTTTGCTTTTTTGTCTTGGAAGCTGGGAGAATACTATCAGTTCCTCCTAGGTCAAAGGAAAAGTAAGAATATTCTAAATTTGAGAAACCTGTGTGTCTGCAGGACCCTAGTAAGGAATGAACAGGTTTCCGGAGGCCCTGTGACAGCTGGGTCAGACACGGGGCGCAGGCCATCTTAAGCGGCACCACTGCTCAGTTCTGTGTCCCAGAGTTATACACCTTTTCGAAAGAGACTAGAAATCTATGCAATGTTCAAATTCTCAAATAAGACAAGCAATTAGAATTATTTTAATAGAACTGTCCTAACCAAATAAAACAAACTATTTGCAATCAGTGGGAATCTGACTAGACTCACATGAAAAAAAGAGATCACAGAAGTGGTGATGCTAGCCCAGAAAATGTTTTTAGTCATTCTATCAGCTATATGTTAAATATGGTAGCGACTATCCATGTGCAACAATTGAAATCAAAATTAATTAACACTAAATAAAATTTAAAATTCACTTTCTCAATCACAGTTACCATATTTTAGGTGTTCAAAGGTCACGTGGTCACCATAGGAGACAACATAGATAAAAAATAGAAAGCTCTATTGCATCGTCCCTGAGTAGACCAAATGTGATTCTGATGAATTCACAAGGATCCAGTTACACAGGTGAAAAAAAATGTTATTTTTATTTTAATATTTTTAGCTATCAGATAGGCTTTTGGAGAGGTGTGTGACCTATTCAAACTGCACTTGTTTCTTCACTTTTTATAGGCAACAACAGCCCTATTCAGACTTGACTTAATATATAATTAACTCGTGAAAGACATGTTTACTGCATTATCCATATTTTAATATATTGTGCCAATCACTGGTGTTTACTTTTGCCATGATTTTAAAACTGTAATAGTGGGATGGGGTGGTGCATTACTGTAATCCCAACAACTAGGGAGGCCGAGGCAGGAGGATCACAAGTTCAAGTGCAGCCTAGATAACTTAGTGAGATAAGACCCTGTCTCAAAATAAAAAAAAAAAAATAAAAAGGTATGGTAGTGTGGCTCAGTGGTGGAGCACCTATGGTTTCAATCTGCATTAAAGAGGGGAAAAAAAGCAATGCTATCAGTTTCAGTTTTAGGGGTTTCTTCATAACATAAAGTCTTTTCTAAACAGTCTCTGCTCACATGATTGGTACTCCTATAACTACAGTGGAGGTCCATGCTGCCTGTGAATGCCATGGTCAGAGGGTGTACATTCTGAGGATGAAAAGCCTTAGCAGTGCATGCCAATCAATCTACAAGGCATAATCAAGGGTGTCCGAATGACTCAAAAGAATCAAAAGATGAAAAGAGGAAGAGGAATGATAGTTACCTTTAAATAGGGAATGCTCTCAGCAATCTTGTTCTGTGCCTTCAGGATAAAGCCGTAATGCACTTTAGCAAAGCCATCATTAGGTGTCACATTCAGTACCTGAACTCAAAGAAAACAAAAAGCTATTGTGATAGATTACAAATTGCACAAATGACTGTCAAAACAAATTTTAATTAGTTTTGCTGTACTTGAACTGGATTATGATGTTACAGCTGAAAACACTATGACATTTTGTCTCACTGCAGTCATTAAACTTCAATGGCCCTATTTCCTCTCAACTCAATGTACTTTTCACATTTACACGAATGAAATGGCAATAACTGCTGAAGCATTTGCTTTAACAATGCAAATCAGCAAAATATGTGTCAATTTATAGGACTTCAATTTTTTTTTTTAGTGAATAGGGAAAAGGGCTTTAAATTTGCTCTGTTTGAATCCAACTCTAAATGGTTATTATAGGTTGCTTTATATAATGTGCCTTATCCATTGTCTTAATTAAGAGAAAATTTATGCTTTGTATTCATACTACATAACAAACATTTGAGTGCCCAGACTCTTTTAAGCACTGAAAATAAAGTTGGTGAGCAAGTACAGTATTCTGTGATAAAACCCAGGCAACTATTGAATACAAATCACATTATTGTGTGTTATATATGCATTTATTAGGATTTAGTGATAAATTATGCAAATGCTTTTAATTAAGTATTAGCAATGATAAATGAAACACCATTCAACTTATGAAGATGCTTTCACAAACTAATTTATGGAACAAGAACAAGATGAAAGTTTGAGCCATGTCGATGTACAGAAAAGATACACATGCTGCCTCTTTACTCTTGAGCCCGAGTAGGAAGAGGAAGTCACACACACCAAGGGGACCTACAGAAGGAGCATGTGCACAGAGGGGACATCACACCTTGTTGAATCCACATGGTGCACACTGCCTACACTTCAGTATTTCCAACTCAGATCAGGTCCTGAACCTCATCCGTTCTTAAGTCCAGCCAACACAACCTTCAAAGCATATTTAAAATTGTTAACAATTGTCATTTCCTTCACTGATGCTGCCCTGGTTCGGGCCTCAGCATCTTTCCCTGATCTTCTTACAGGAACCTCCTGATTGCGGGTCCTCTGCACTCCTGCAGTCCACACCCCATGTGGATCCCCGAGGAACTTGCTGAATTGTAAGTCGTATCACTTCCATCCTATGATCCATTCCACTGAGTGAAAGACAGAGTTCCAGGGATCCCTGCCGAGGCCAGCCTTATGCTCCTTTCCACTCTTCTGTCCCTCTGAGGCATGCTGGACTCTTTGCTTCTCACAGCAAGCCAAGGGCACCTCTGCCTCAGGACCTTTGAACTCACAGTACTCTGCCTCAAACACTCTTCCCTCAGATAACCAGACGGCTCACTCCCTTACCAGGATGAAGGAACCCTTGCTCAAAGGTCCCACCTCAGCAAACCCCACCCCTGACCCCGACCCCATCACTAGTCACCCTCCAACTTCTCCCTCTCCTGGTTCATTTTTCTTCTTGTATTCATCATCACCACCTGACCTATTATATATTTTTTTTTCTTCAACTAGTGAGATGTCAGCTCTACAGGGATTGTGTCTGTTTTGTTCATCCTCAATGTCCAGCACACAGAGGGTTCTCAAGACTATGGTACTCAATGTATAGATGGGCACGTGGCGGGTTTTCCTCCCTAACTAGATCTCTGAAAGTGCAGGCTCTGCCTTTTCTGCATTTTCCCCAGCACTGACCTCATGCTAGATGCTTATCAGAGCTCAGTACTTCATATCCCTGGAATGGAAGAGAATTGACACAGATCATGCTTCTGCCAGCACAGCCATGCAGGGATTATTATAATATTAAAATTATTACAGCCACACAGATGACATTTCTGCCTGTTGCAGGCACACAGCCACCATCTCAAGTCATTAACAAATTAAATCACTTACTAGGCATTTTAGAATATAAAGAACTGCAGACCACTAACATAGAAATTGAAATGAGATATACTCTTTTTTTCCTCTGGGTCTTCTCGGTCAAGGGAGGGAGACAGATTCACACGAAGACAATGACAATATAAGATGTTCAATAGCTAGAGAAATAGGCAAGAGGCATCAGTATCTACAGAGAAGGGGCACATAACTCACCCTGTGGTGTAGGTGACTGGGGGCAAGGTCTGAAAGGCGTTTAGGGATGAATAGGAGTTCACTAAAGAAGTGGCAGATGAGAGACAATGAGGGGGGGCATTCAAGGTACAGAAGAAGTCAGTAAAAAGGGATAGTGAGCCAGGAACAGCAAAAGGGAATGTTGTTAAATTATAAACAGAAGTCAACGAAGAGGCTGGGGAAGGGGTCAGAAGTTGCATCAAATCACAAAAGGTCTGATTAATTAATGTGTGAGATAATCCTCTGGAGAGTAAAAAAAAAAAAAAAAAAACCTCAAGTTCCTCAACTTATATCTGTCTCTGAAATATCCTAAGTGTGAAACAGCTTGTGGCTCTCCTCCATGTGCATAGTGGACAGTCATGTGTCACATCCTGTATGAATATTACTAGAAGGGTTGGTACCTGGGCACCCAGAGCAGCTGACAGTGCTGCCCTACCCACTTGATGCCTTACCTGTAGGTAGTGTGCTGACTGCAGTTTGGAGGTGGATGTGAAATGAATGTGCAGCTTTTGTTGTCTCGTTGAAATTAACATGTAGATTTATAAAATTTCTAAGAAAGCTAGCATTATGGTTTGAGTAAAGTGTCCTTCGAAAGCTTGTTATGTGAGACAATGCACGAACATTCAGAGGTGAAATGATCAGGTTACCTGAGTTGTAACCTAATCGGTGGATTAACCCCTTTGATGGATTCATAATTTGAATGGAATACATAATAATATTATGTACAATATGCTATATATAATATGCTATTGTTTATATATATGTATGTATGTATATGGGGGCGGAGCGAGAAAGAGAATATTGTATAATACTATCCCTGATTTCAGGCATTCGCTAGTGTTCTTGGAAGATATTTGCCATGGATAAAGGGGGATTAATATAATTATAAACAGCACTGCTCAATGCTATTACTAAAATGATATTTTTTAGTAAAATTGCAAGATCTGTCAGTTAAATAAAATGTGAAAAGTATTTTAAATAGCATATTGTACATAATATTATTATGTATTCCATTCAAATTATGAATCCATCATAATTTCATTTCATCTAAAAACTTATTTTGGAGTATGTACTGTTAACAATGTACATAATACATGTACATACCTATGGCAGGTATTTTCTTGGACATTCACGTACACAATCAAATGGGCTTAAAGACCAGTACTGTGGGCCAGGAAAGCATGGGTGAGCTGGAGCAGAGGGAGATAGATGGTTGTGTCTGGGGTTGATGAAGGTTAAAGAGAAGGAACCTGAGCAAAGGGGATCTCAAGGTTCAGGTAAGAGATGATGAGCCTGGGTTAAAAGAGGAAAGAATTTGAAAGCTATTCAGAAGGTAAAGGGAACAGAAATTTGTGACTTGGCACTGGAACATCAACTTCATGGATGATTATAGATGTACATGATTTTTTTTTGAAGGATATAGTAATTTTATTCTTTTTTTAAATTTATTTTTATAATCAGTTATACATGACAGTAGAATGCTCTTCAATTCATTGTACACAAATGGAGCACAGTTTTTCACTTCACTGGTTGTACACAAAGTAGGGTCAGACCACTGGTGCAATCATACATTTACCTAGGGTAATAATATCATGGACATACATTCTTGTGTGTGTTCCATTAGCTCCATTTCTGAGCTAGCCTGTATGGATTTTAATGAATGAAGGATAACCTGAGGCAGGGCCAGGAAGAATCAGGAATGATGCTCAACTTTGGACCATGATGGCTTAGGTAACTGGCATTGCCACTCATTTGCAAGGGGGACAGAGATTGAATCCCCAAAAGCTATGGATAAGCAATCCACATCAAACCATTTTAGAGTCGATCTCTTTGTTGAAACCAACAGCAGCAAAAGCTCAGAATGGGAACTGTCAGTGATTTTTGTAAATTTACTCAAAAATAAAAATCAATGAGGAAAAAAATACAAAGTTGCAATATTAGCTTTCTGAAAATAACTTTTGATAAAGACATGAATACATTAGGATAAACTTTGGTTAAGGAAAAAGAATCCATTATATATAGCTTATTAACTTAGAAGTAAGAGGAGTGGGGGAGGCAAGTTCCACACTTATATTTAGCCTATTAGTGCTTCCTTAATAAGAAACTCACTCAATTGTATATTATGGCTACATTTTAGACTTTCTGCATCCTATTATGCTCAATCAGGTGAGATTATGATTTCAAATGTAAAAACAACAGCAGGTAAATTTTATTTTTCAAGGTGAAGTAAAATGTTTCATGTATCTGAGATTTAGTGTCAGGGAGCAAGAATGTCTATACCGAAGGGAGGGTTTAGAAAGGGGTAAGGACACATCCACAGTGGTTTAGACACTCCCACAGTCTTAGCTCCTGCCCCAACCAGCCAGCACTTGGTTGGACTTTTTAGATGGAAGGGAGAGAGGGATAAAGGAAGGAAAGAAAGATGAGAAGTAGAAAAATCATGGATATGTCTGTGACAGTTGAGAGTTCTTCCACTCACAAGATCCTGAGTAAATGAAACACATGATGTTTTCATTAATCAAACTCTGCAAGACAAGGCTCCCTAACTGTGTTATGGCCATTAGCAAATACAATGTCTGTTTTAGTCTGATGTTTACTATGATGACTAGAGGAAAGTAGCTGGAGATGCAGTACCCAGGAAAGAGAGAGAGAGAGAGAGAGAGAGAGAGAGAGAGAGAGAACTCTGCTCAACAAGGACAAAATATATACCCCAAGGGGTTGCCCCCAGGGAACCCACCTCCCACAGCCACACCCAGCCAAGATAATCCCATTCAGGGGACTAATGCACTGATTTAGATTAAACCTCTTGCAGCAACCGAACATTTGGCTTCTAAACTTTCTTGCATTGTCTCACAGAGGAGCTTTTGAGGGACATCTAACATCAATACCTTACCCATGTGCTATAGAGAATCATCTCATGACCTAAAAAAGGTCTTTAGTAAATGGAGCACATTTTCAACATTGTGGACTCGATCCATCTTGCATAGATATCAGTGATGCCCTAAAAAGCAAAGGTCTTATTTCTGCTCTCTCAGAAAATATAAGAATTAGGACAAGGGTAAAAAGATAACTGCTTCAAAATTCAATGATTTTCAATTAAGCACCAACAGCAATAAACAGGCAATTTTATGTGGACCGAGTCTCTGGACAGCATATAAAACTGCTCTACTTGACAGCATTTTTAAAATAGAAGGAATCATAATTACTAACAAGGAGTAGTAGCATTTTGATGTAAACTGTACCAGCTTGAAAACCATTGAACGACAGGCTTAAATAAAAGCACAACAAGGAAACGAGTTCATCTTTCTCTTTCTTTTCTTTTCTTTCTTTTTCTACCAGGGATTGAACTCAGGAGCACTACACCACTGAGCCACATCCCCAGCCCTATTTTTTATATTTTATTTAGAGACAGGGTCTCACTGAGTTGCTTAGCACCTTGCTTTTGCTGAGGCTGGCTTGGAACTCATGATCCTCCTGTCTTGGCCTCCCGAGCCACTGGGATTATAGGTGTGCACCCCTGCACCCAGTTATCTTTCTTTTATAGGAAGGCATTCACTTTCTCCACCTGCAAAATTCATTTGGCATCTTGTTTGCCCTGCACCAAATGAATTTCCTCATTGCCTAAAGGAGTCAGTTTTTTAGGCTTGATAGGTCCTTGGGACTTCGAAGTTATCTATTGAAATGTCCATAACAAGGTAGAAATTCTTTGAAAGGCATCCTTGCCAGAAGATCAGAAAGTCAATGCCTTTCTGAAAAGCAAGGAATCTACATGTCCAGAAAGGCCCATGATCTGCAGTTTCCCTCTAGACTGGATTCTAGTGCAGAAATGGGAAAAACAAAATTGTCTATTTTTTTACACTTACAGAATCTGAGTTCTTCTTCTCATTGCAAAAAACTCTTTCAGAAAGGCTGTCCATGGAGTTGACAGATAGGAAGTTTAAAAAATATCACCATTACAGCTGAAGGTTTTGATTTAACAAAAGCTAACTAAAATTTAAAATGTTCTGATCATGGGGGAAAAAATCAAGGTGAAAATGAAGTTTAGAATATGTCAATTATAATAATACTTACATGTTATTTAATTTAACTTAAAGAGAATGAGAGACTGGGTATATTATATGCAATCTGCAAAGAGCATTAGAACTTAATGTTCAAGATAATGTAGTTAATAGAAGATTGATGCTCACCTCCTCATACACCTTCTTGGCATTATCATTGTCTCCTATCAAAAGGTACCCCACTCCAAGATCATTCTTTAAAGAAGTATCACTGGGAAATAATTGAACTAATCTCTGTAGGGTAAGCAGGGAACCTCTCATGTGACCTGATTTGGGGGAAGGGAAAAAACAAAGAAATAAAAAGAGATTACATATACTTTTGGATTGAGAATATAATTCAGTAGAGATTATTCGACAAGCTAAAACCTGATTTTATAGATTAATGTTTCATTAAGTGAATTTCATGGTGAAGTTACGATGGTGTCAATAATTGCTGTAAATACTGAACATGCTATTGATTAAAGACATTTTAAAGACATGCTCATTCTCTAAGTTCATCAACACTTATCTTTTTATGTTAGATTCCCTCTTAAAAAAGTTTTATTTACCAATTCCTTGTGAGAATGTTTTGCGGAGATATTTTTGGCTTATTAACTTTAAAATTACAGATAGAGGATAGACAATAAAAATTCTTATTAATTTCAGGGTAAAGCACCTGTATAAAGCTTAAAAAGGCATCAAGTTACATAGCACAGCATTTAATTGTGACAATCTCCAATCAAAAGTGTACCCAAGTACAGTGTACCCACACTAAGTACTGAGTGTGGAGCAAAGGATAGATCACCTAGTATTATGGGACCCTCTGGTGGACGATAGGATACTATACACAACATGAAATCAGGAATTATGAAAATTCCAATTTCTGTTTACTGTAAGGCTATCTGACTGGCAATTTAAAGTATCTGGGGCCACTTGCCATTACTCCTTGCCGTAGTTGGAAAGACAACCTATATAAGAGAAAATGTGCTAAATTAGATTATCACCTTTGGAAAAAAAACTAATTACCTAAAGTGCTTAGTTGCCCACAAATCATATATTAGCCAACAATGTGGCAGGACAAACAAAAAGCTAAGCTGTCTACTCCACTAACAAACTATCTGGCACAAAGCATCACCAATTTAGCCCACATGGCCTGTTCCACTGCTGACCAATCGTATTCCACTCAGAATTCCCAGATGAGTGGATCAGCCAGTCATTTCCTTGTGAATAAATCTGGGTCTAATTTTCTGCCCTTTTCCTTCTCCCTGCCTGCCCATCTAGGCTCACTGCTTTTCTTCTGCTTCTAAACTTCTCCTGTCAACCACAACACAGGCGTAGATTAAAAAAAAAATCCTGTGCAGCCATCTGCAGCCTGTGCCTTTCCCTGTGTATCATGAACCCTGTCCTATTGTGAGCCAAATGCACTATCTTGCAAATGGCCAACTGCCTCTGATCCTCTTTAAGTGAAATCACTTCATTTCCATTCACAGGAAAAGTCCATATTCAAATATCAAAGGACTGTGAGGAGAGGTTTAGATTTCTTCATAGGCAGTCTTCTTCCAAGGGCTGGGAACAGGATAGGGCAAGTGAGCACTCAGCACAAAAGCTGACATCCAAAAATATCCATCATTCTGAGTTGAATAGTATTTAACACATCCTTTAAAATAATCAAAATTAATGTAAAACATCCAAGGTGAACAAAACACTAACATTTTAAAGTTAGAATCATTAACGGGGCTAAGGAGCACCATGATGGAAGTGGAGGCAAAGGGAAAACTCAGCAATATGGATCGTGCATCCTGGGCAGTGCCTCCTCTGCCACCCTGAGTCCAGCCTGGCCTTTCTTGTCCTGTTTTTGTGTTGCACATTATCCTTCCCCTGATCTGGACTTTCTGGACATAAGTCTAATTGATGGTTTCTTGCAGTTTTTACTGACACTGGGCTCTGCTCCTGTTACATCTGCAAAAGTGACACAATCACCCTTTATTCCATGTCTCCGAGAAGTGACAAAAGGGTCAGCTCGGCCTGGACTGTTACTTACTTGAACTTTCACGAAGTGACACTGAGAATCCATCCATGCAATGATGCAGTCAGCCAAGTACCTATCTCAGCAGTGACACCTAGTGTAAATCCTTCCCTGCTTGTTTAAATGTTGGGCAAAGAGACTCACAAGCCTGGCTGAAAGGAAGGCAGTTAGTTAGTCTTCCTTGCCCTTGATACTTGGGAACCTGGGTCAGTCAAGACTGTGGTCTTCCCATGTTTTAACATTGTTTTTAAGTCTTTGCAAATGTCCTTTATTATTAAAAGCGTATTTTCTAGCATTTTTCTTGGAATAGGTCCACATTTTACGTGTAGACGGTGGGAGTGCCTGGAACTCCCAACATTCCTTGACAAAAAGCATGCTACGGATAATTTCAAACTCCAGGGACCAGTTTCATATAGTTAAGAGTGAGAGGAATCTGGCATCACAGAAAGAGTGATTAATTTGTTTGCTATGGCTCCCTGAGCAAGTTATCTAAGCTCTCTGCATTCTATTTGCCTCAAATGGAGGGGGGCAAGGAAGGTGTAAAAATACCACCTGCATCTTTGTATTTATTGAGGCTGGGATTGCTGTTTCAGTTTTAGAGATAGTCAGTCAAAGGTAGGTGAGAAACTACTTGAAATTAGTGACAGACCTGAGGTTTCCTTCCAGTGACTTATCTCCTCTCATGTATTCATGGCCTCCAGGCTGGAGGCAGAGACTTGCTGTTTCCTCTTGAATCTTACTGCATCTCACCTAGAAATTGCTGTCGTTCTGAGCGCCGCTTCAGACTCAGCTTCACCAGGTCTGTGGGGACATCAGGCAGACTGGTCACCTCTTGGTAGGTCTCAATGGCCTTGCGCAGTACCTCATTGCTCCTCCTCTTCTCAGCCAAATCATCTTCACACTAGAGGAAGGACCCAGACTGCATCAATGTCCCATGACCAGCTACATTTCTAAGGACCCAAAATATTCATAAAAAGTTAACTTCTGGACATGCTTTAAAAGAAATTCAAGATGGATTAACCTTTTGTTTTTATCAAGAAAAAAAAAATACAAACAAAAGACAGCAATATAATAATTTAATAATAATAATAATAATAAAAAGTTAGCTACCAAGCTAAGTTTTGAAAAAGAATACCATAAAAGCCAAATGATGCTGGGGCTGATGGAGATACATCATATTCCGCACTAACACCACATTGACAGGTCTCCAGCCCACAGCTCCTGTTTTCATTGGTGCATTCCTGTGCTGGCTCTCTCATGCATTCATGCATTCAGCAGCTATTTTGAGGGGGAGTAAGGCGTTGTTTTTTGCATGTGGCAGACAAACTGAACAAAACACACAAAGCTATTTTCTCATTTTGCTCCCACTTCATAAATGAGAGAAACACAAAATGCAAATAAAGATGTCATGAGTTTGAAGGCCAAGAGTGCTGTTGACCAAAAAAAGGAGCAGGCTGAAGAGTGCTGAGTAGGGTGACAGGCAGGTTACCAGTTTAGTCAGGGTGGGCAGGAGGGCCTGAAAGGAAGAGAGCAGGCTATCCAGGGGAACAGGGTTAGGAAGACAGAACAGTATGAACAGCAACTCTGAGGTAGGAGTGAGGTATAGAGGAAAGTGGAGGGGAGGAGGGAGGCCCAATGTGAGCTATTGGCTGATGCAGGGCTGGTAAGATACTGAAACTGCTACTACACTCAGGAAGATGGAGAGACATCGGGCATTTGACATGATCTGATGTATGTAAGGGATCATGCTGGCAGCCATTTCTAGAATAAGCTGAGGGGATGGAGGAGAACCAGGGACCCCAGGTAGGATGTTCTGGCAGGAAGGCAGATATGGAAGAGAGTGATCTGGACAAAGGGGCAGTAATGAAGGTGGTAGGAAGCAATCAGATTTCAAGTATATATTGAAAGTCAGAACCAACCAATTTACAGATGATGTGAATGTAGGATAGGAAAAAAAGAGAGAGATCAATGATGAATTGGAGGTTACTGGCTTAAATGATTACCTGATGGAAGTGTCATTATGTGGGAAGGACAGGACAGAAGAAGGTTTGGGGGAGTAAAGAATCAGGAGCTCAGTTCTGGATATATTAAACTCCAATAGCAAGGGGAGATATTGACTAGAAGGTGCATACATAAGTTCAGGGGAGAGGTGAGAGTTAGAGACATACACTTTAGAATCGTTAAGGATGGTTATAGTATTCAAAGAAGAGTTATAAGAGTAGACAGAAAAAAGAAGAGGTCTGGGAAATGAGCACCCCTAATTTCCAGTGTTTCAAGGTCATTAGAGGTCAGGAAGACAAAGGAACACCAGCCAAAATGACAGTGAAGAGGGAGGTCAGAACAAAATAGTAAGAAAACATTCTGGTATTCTGGAGACCAAGCAAAAGAAACGTTTCAAGAGAATGAGATCAAGGGTGTTAAAAGCAGCTGCAAGGTTCGAGCAGATGAGAACTGAGATGAGATCACACTGGACCGGGCAGTACAGAGCCTCTGATGGCCTTGGTAAGCTGTTCCCACTGGCCAGCTGGGGACACACACCTGCATGGAACACATTCAAGAGACTATGGGAGGATGGGTGAAGACAACTCTTTTGACAAGAAGTCTGGCTATAAATTGGAGAAAAGAAACAGGCCAGTAGGTAGAGGGGAATGTAGAGACAGGGAGAGATTATTAAAGATGGGATATAATACAGTATGTTTCCAAGTGGATGAAAAAAAGATTCAGTAGAGAGGGAAAATCTGAAGATGAAAAAGGAAGACAAAGAAATTTGAACAAAGTCCTCCAGCAGGTAAAAGGAAAAGGAACCAAAAATGTGCATCCAGGGCAACAGGAAGGGAAGGCAGAGCAGACAGACACAGGTGTAGGTAGGCTGGTGCAGGTGGGTTGTCAGTGTAATAGTGTGAACACATGGAAATTCTTTGGACAATTCTATTTTCTTAGTGAAAATATAAGTAAGATTCATAGTTGGATATTGAGAATGGAGAATGAAATACTGGAGATAAGAGGAGGAAAATGTGTTAAAATGGTCATCAATAGCTCATTGGATTTAGTAGACTATAATTTAAAGACTACCATTTAAGGAAAAATGACACCAGTTACATGCTAAAAGTAGCATATATAAAATTTTTAATTAGGACATGTAAAGATGTCTTACTTGTTTAACATGTTTCTCTTGTTAAAATAGATTGTGTGCTGGGTCAATACATAGACATCTGAAGAACCCAAACAAAGCCTTACTCCACCATTTGAGGACTTGATAAGAAAATGATCCATCTCACCCCCATCCTCAAGTGATGGGGTCTAGGCTTGAAGCAGTGGTGATAGGACTCAAGAGAAAGGAAAAAAGGTAAGATCAAAATTTCAAAGGTTAGAAAAGAGCAGTTCATCCTGGCTTGATAGAAATGATGCTCCAGACCATTCAACTACCTTTTCAACCAATCTGTAAGTAGTCTTCCAGAATAAAACTTTTCAGAGAGAACGTCCAATGTCAATGACCCATATTGGCTTTTCAGTGTAGGTTCATGTCTAGCTTTTCTGTTTAGCCATCACCTTCATGTGAATTTGACTAGAGTGAATTAACTCCCTAGACTGTGAACATTGTTGGATGACTTACTAGAAACAGTTCAAGAGCTTCAGAGAGGCCTATTGAGACGAGACTATCAAGTTCACTCTGCATTTGGAATCTACAAAGTTATCAAACATAGTCTGGATCGGGGCTCTATGCAAGGTTAGAGGAAGAGCAAATGCCTATATAATAATCCCTCTCTATAGAGACAGAAATAAACATTTAAGCTCAATCTGGAAAGACAGAAAGATGATACAATCCATCCTTTGATACAATGATACAATATGTCTTGTTCCATCCCTTGAGCCCCAGGGTCCTTGGTTTTAATGAAGTATAAGCATTTTATAACTTCTAGAATTGGGAAAATATCAGTACTAAAGTGGCATATAATTCTTTAAATAACTCCCAAATGAAACTAATAGTACTTGCTCTGAAAGTCAGAATTGTACTTATTGTTTTTTTTTTTTTTTTTTAATCAGTCAAGCATCTGTAGATAAAACAAGCTGGACTGGAACTGAACATTTGTTACAGGACGTTAACATTGCAAGGCCTTTTGTTGAAGAACTAATTCACTCAGCCAACCTTCCTAGGAGATTTGTCATTTTCTGCCTCAGAGGCATTAATGGTTTGTGAAAGATGATAAAGTGAATTGAGTTTATAATTCAAGATTTTTTTTGTCCCATGTTTAGTAAGTTATTCAAAATTGATTTTCACAGTGGTCCAAAGAATAAGACAGTAACAGTGATACTATAGAAATGATAGGTATTGTAGTTTGCACCCGACTTGAGGTTGATGAATTTAAAAAATTGGTTGGAATGTTCCGAAGTAATTGTTTAATCTGCTAAGAAAGAATGAAAGTCATAATTTATTTCTCCCTATAAAACCCATCTTCTGTTGAATTTTTGTTTTTAAAACTCTTATGAAATTAAGGTTTCCCTTAAATTACTCTATTAAAATTTAATTTACCATGTCTAAATTTTGTTTTATGCTACATTAATGTTAATACAATAACATCTGTAGCAGAATAGTTTAGAGATAAAAAATCTTGTGTGAGGACTAAATGTCAAATTCCTTCTGTGAAATAAGAAAATAAATACAGAAATCACCATGTTTTAAAACCACTGCACTTATTTAGACTTTGGTACCCACAATTAAAATCATATATAAAGAAAAATTTCAAAGCACAGAACATTTTTACCACAATGAAGTTATCATTTGCATAAACCATTTCTACCTAGTTAATATGCTTTCCTTACATCAAAAGACTTAATGCCAGTGACGAAACACATCACTTATTTGGACAGGAATGATCTTTTGGTAAGAAACACATGATCTCATAAGAGTAATACAGTGTAGCAATTTTAGAGAAAATAATTTACAAAACTCATATAGTTGGTATCTGTTATGACTGCTCTAGACTGTGGATAAGAGGAACTTATTTGTACTAATATTTTTCAAAAATTTGATTTATTAAAAGGTACTTCATAAAAATTTAATTAATTACATTTTAATGAGGTGACTAAAACAATCTGAATCTCCAGTGGCCACTACCTTTAGCTCAGAGCAAGACATATTGCTCACTATGAGTGTCCTACACAGGTGTCTGCATGGATACCCTCCAGACAAACACTGTCAACTCCTTCTCAGTCTGAAAAACCTTGGTTTACTCTGCATCTATCATTTCCCAGCAGTGTTGACGCTCTCATGACCCCAGGAATGATAGTAGGCACTTTACTGTCTTGACTTTTGTATACCAGCTCTAGCTTTTTTACTTCATACATCCAGCTGTTTCCTTGATATGTCCCTTAGAATGTCTAATAAACACTGAAATCTGAAGATCAAATGCAAACTCTTGATTTTAGCATCTCTCCAAATTTGTTCTTCCTGGTCAGTAATTGATATTATTCTCTCTTGTCAAAAGGTCAAACCAAAAAACCAAAAGTCATCCTTGGATCTTCTCTTTCTCTGACCCTTTCATCTAATCCATCACTAAGTCCTTTCGACTCCATCACCTACCCACTGCCCTGTCTCCATGGTCATGACCACAGTCTAAGCCACCAGTACCTCTTGCATTCACTGAAGTGGCCTCCTGTTCTTTGTGCATCTACTTTCGCTCTCATAATCCACTGCCACCCAGCAACCAAAGTAATCTTAATAAAAAATAACCAGACTATCACACCCCAGGCATAACATTTCTCCAAAAGCTTCTTAGCTCATGAAGAATAAATCTATAGGACCCTGGCCTCACTGTCCCACCCTTCTATGCCTTAGTATATCCTTTTTTTCTGTTTGGGTTTATTATACCAAAAATGTTTCTATCCATCATGGCCTTTGTCTTGATGTTCCCTCTGCCCAGACAACTTATTCCACAACCTTGCCATAGCTCAGCCACATACCACCTCTCTAGAGAGCTGTTTTCTGACCATTTTTTCCAAAGTGACATTTTCCCTGTCGTTTCTAATCACATTACCTGCAACCAAAAAATCTTCATAGGTTTGCTCTTTATTCCATTAAGTTCTTATTCTTATAACATGCCTTATTAGGCAATATGATCAAATATGTTTATTTTTAACACATCATAATATTCATTCAGCATATATTTATTTAAAGAGACTTTCAAAGCTTTGCTCACATGTTACCTCCTCAGTGAGCTTTTCTCTGTCATTCTTCCCACCAATTCAACCCCCTCCCATGTCCAATGGCAGTTTCCTGCTTTAAGTTTGTTCTTTTTAGCATTTATCTCTAGCAAACATAAATTATATTTATTTGTCATATGCACTGTCTTGCCTTTGCAATAGAAATACCATAAAGACAGGTTTTGTTTTGTTTTTTTAAAGTGTTTTATTGATGGCTGTATCTCCAATGCCTAGAAAGAGACCTAGCACACAGTGCCAGGGATCTCACTAAACATATTTTAAATAAGTAATTTTAAAAATATCTTCCACTAGAATATAAGATCTACAAGGAAGACTTTAGTGTGTTCACTATATCACATTCTGAATACTTTTCAATTTTCTGTACATTGTAATGTTTAACATCTCAGAAAATCTAGAAAGACTGCTGTCTCGCTATCCAAGAGACAGCAAATGAGCAAGTTTTGATATGCAAAGTAATCAATCCAGAGCCAAACCTCTTTTACCTGGCCCATGTACCATGGGAGGCAATAGTACTATGTTTTCATCAAGGTAGCCAGATACTTGGCAACTGGAAACTAGTCCTACAGCTCAAGGCCTGACAAAATTACTCCAACTAGCCAACCCTAACTGCTCACCCCACCCTACCTTGCTTTTCCATGGAAACCCCAACAAAGGCTGCAGCTTAAACCTTCCCCTTGAGCCTTGTCATCTGCCTCCAGAGCACTCTGGCATTTTCCCACTTGGCCCTGCATGGCGTGGGGGCCTCCCATCTGTAGTACAGGAGTATAATAAACTTTGTTTTCTCCTGAGTCTTTCCTGTGTCTCCTTTTGTGGCCACAGTTGAATGAGAATCTCATAAAACAATATAAAATTGATACTTCCAAGGCCTATAACCGTACCTGGCACAGATGGGTTCATGTGGTAACAGGTGATATGGCCAAATTCATGAATGGAGGGGGTGGAATGAAGAAAGCCAGACGAGGACACAGTGGGAGTGGGAGATGGGGAGGTGGTGACTGGTAAGAAATGAGTCAGTTGAAAGAGACTATTGAGAAAACAAAGTACATCCTATTTTATATTTTTAAAAACTCTGTCTAAAGCATACGTGCAACCTCTTGTTATACAACTGAGAGTCTTGAAGCTCTGAGAAAACCGAATGAACAATAGTATGGTGGTCTCCATGGAATGGGCCATGGGGTAAGAGAAAACCAACGACAAATGTTTTACTCTTTGTTTTCTCTTCAAAACCAAAGGCAAGCCATATGGATGCTACTAGACTCAGTAGTATATAATGTGAAATGAATTGTCTTATTTAAAGCAGTATTTGGTGCCTGGGTTTAAGCATATACATGAGAAGCCTACTCTGTATAGAAATTGGAACGGGAACAGAGAAAATGCAAGTAATGCAGACTGAAAAAAATTGATTACACAGAGCACATGAACATAGAAGTGTTCTGGAATACCTGTGCCTTCCCGTATCTTGCTCGTGGACTCTGAGGGTATTTGCGCACTAGTTCTTCAAATGCATTCACGGCTTCCTCGATTTTTCCCTGTTAGATGCAATCACATAAATACAATAAATTCAAAATAAATGATGTTATTCAATAGTGATTCTGTCGGATTTTTTTTTTTTAAATTTCTGAATTTAAGAACTTTTACCTATAGTTTTTCTTAAAGCTGTATTATGCCTGGGAATGGTGGTACATGCCTGTAATCCTTGCATACCTGAAGCAGGAGGATTGTACGTTCAAAGCCAGCCTTAGTAATTTGGCAAGGCCCTAAGCAACTTAGTGAGACCCTATCTCTAAATAAAAATCAAAAAGGGCTGGGGATATGGCTCAGTGGTTAAGCATCCCTGGGTCCAATCCATGGTACAAATAAATACGTAAATAAATAAGCTGTATTATGGACGACTGTCACTAGAAATGAAAACAACATACTCAATTTTTAAAAAGAAGCATACCGACAATGATGTAATATGCATCTTTGTTACAGAAATTGAACTTTCCCTAAAGATATAGTTCCTACATGCTTTCTCAAAGATGTTAAGGTTTTACATGAGGGAAATACTGCTGGCAGTAGAATGTCTTGGGTCTTTTAAGAGGAAACGAAATATCTCATCACAGCTCTGAAGCATCTGTGAAAAGGTTGAGGAACAAATACACAGGATGAGAAGGTCATTTAGCCACCAGTTGTTCCTGGGGAAATGTCAGGGTTGATCATCAGGCTGATCATCAGCAGGACCTTTTTTCCTGGGTTACTGTGTCCCCAGCACCACAGACAGTTCCGCCCACCCAGGAAGGGCCTGTGAGTGAATGAAGGATGAAGGAGGGTCCTTCCAGGAAGGAAAGTAGAAGAGGAGGTAGGGAGGAAAGGAAGCAAGACAGAGGGGTGCAGGGTAGGACAGGATGAATCTGAGTCAGAGCGTCATTCTTAGGGTGTACGGTGCCTGCAAGTCAGTCCACTGCGGCAAGGGGAGGAAATATTCAAATTTCATCTACTTGTATTGTTTATCTCATGTTTATTTCACAACCAGTCAATGTGCCCAGGCTTGAGCAGTCACATCAACCTCATGCATATCTGTGTCCATGGAGGCCAACCCCTGCCAGCCCCCACCAACACCACACAGTGGCCTAGAGTCTCTTTTCAATCTATGCCACCTCAGGGGCCTGCCATGGTGGCTTCCCTCAACAAAGGTTTGTTGTGAACATTCTTCAGATTAAATATCAACTCTTTTTGGGTGAGAGGAGGGCAGACATTCACAGGCCATAAGGTTGAGGAAGAAACTGAGGAGGGCCACTTAGCCATGGCACCTGTTGTTGCCCATGGAAACACCAGGGTTGATTTGGCTTATTCAGCCAACTGGAGCACATCTCTGCCTCTATCAACTCCCCTTTCAAAGCTTACATGGGGACATAAGAAGATGGTCCAAGTGCCTTTGGTAGAGCTTCTGACTACTACTGCATGAATAGAAAGGGAGGACATGTGACAGGAATCTTGGCGGGAGTCTGCCATTAGGGATAAGGTTCCCTCCATCTCATTCCATCCAAATACCATTCCACAGTGTGAAGAAATGTCTCTTGGCTTCCAATGGATGGCAGCATGTTATGGTTTGGATTTTAAATGTCCCCAAGGCTCATCTGTTGAAGGCTTGTTCCTCAGATGGAAGTGCTACTAGGATGTGGTAGACCTTTTAGGAGGCGGGGTTTAGTGGGAAGTTAGGTCACTGGGGAGAGTGTCCTTGAAGGGGACTAGGGGACACCAGATTTTTCCTCTTTCTTTGATTCCTGGCCACTGTGAGGTGAGCAGCTTCTCTGCCACTTGCTCACTGCCATCATATGCCGCTTTGACACATACCTGTGTCCATGGAGGCCAACCCAGACAGGCCTGAAAGTAATGGAGCCAACTGACCATGATATGAAACCATGATCCACAATAGATCTTGTCGTCTTTTCAGTTGATGATTTCAGGTAATGATGCCGTAGTGATCGAAAGCTGACTGACACTTACTAGTCAAGGATACTAAAATCCATGGGATAGAGATTTTATAAACTGAAGCTTCCCAAATACTTCAGATCTATAAATCCGTAAATCCATTCAGCCCATATGTAAATACAAAATCACCGTGATTTACATGGTTTGACCTACACTGAGTGGAGCATTCCTGTAACAAAATGTACCTAAAAAATATGGCTGTCCAGAGCAAACTGCTGATAGGTTTCATCAGCCTGTTTTGGAAGTGTATCAGGTTTCTTTCATTTCAGTCCTCTCTTTTATTGCAAGTTGGCAGTACTTCTGCTGATAGAGTATTCTCAAATGTCTGTGGGTCTCTTACATATATCACAGGAATTCACAACACTGGACAAGAAGTGTTTCCACAGATCCCTCCTGTATAACTTTATCTCTATTCTGACTTCTTCTGAGATGGCTGAGTGGATCCAAAAGTCACACACCTAATCTCTTCCGGAAAAGGTACTCTGCTGTACCTATGGATTTCTCTCCAGATTTGTCTTTTCTAACAGTGATTTTCCTAATGTTAGCATCTTCTGCAACCTGGATTGGCTGAGAAGTTGCCAAACAATCAAGTGCTGGATCTTTTTTTCCTCAACAGTTTTTTCTTCATTTTATCTCCTTTCTCTCATCTTTTAATATAATCAGCAAAAAAGAAACTAGGCTGTACTTTCAACACTTTGCATGGAAATCCCCTCAGCTAAATATTCAAATTTATTGCTTAAAAGTTTTCCCATAACTGTAAAAACACAATTCAGATAAGTTTTCTGCAACTACATAACAAGGGTCACCTTTCCTGTAGTTCTTAATATATTCCTTATTTTCTCCTGGGTAACTTGCCAGATGAGACTTTAATGTCTGTATTTCTATTGTATTATGCTCAGGATGATATATGTATTCTCTAAGATTACAGATGCTCTCTCTAATATGTTCCTCACTTTCTCTTGAACTTCCTTAGAAACCATTTTAACATCCGTATTTCTACCAATAATTTGTTTAGGGCAAAACAGGCTTTTTCTATCATACACCTCAAAATTCTTCCAACCTCTACCCCTTACCCAATCCCAAAGCCACTTTCCCATTTTTAGGTATTTGTTACACTCTAACTGCCCAGTACCAAAATCTATGAGTTTCCTATGGATGCTGTTCCAGACTACCACAAACTTGATAGCTTAAAACAAGAGAAATCTGTTCTCTCACAGTTCTGGGAAGCAAATATCCAAATTAGTCCCTCTGGGCTGAAATCAAGATGTTGGCAGGGCCATACTCTCTCCAGAGACTGCAGGGGAAAAAAATCTGCATTTTGTCTCTTGCCAATAGGTCTTGGCTTGTGGCTATCTCACTCCAATCCCATTTCTATTTTCCTCTTCTAAGTGTATGCCACCTTCTATTTTGCCTGCATCCAATTTTCCTCTGTTCTTCTCTTATAAGGAAACATGATTTCATTTAGGGGGCCAAGTGAATAATCCAGGATAATCTCTAGCTCAAGAACTTTAACTTAATCACATATGCAAAGATACTTTTCCTAAATAATGTACCATTGACGGGTTCTAGGGATCAGCACGTGGTTCTCTCTTGGGAGGCCATTTTCATCCGACTACTTCTATATGCAACTTAAATTGCAAATATTACTATGCTAAATGTACCATTGTCAGATTTAAAACACAAGCAGAAATATATTCATATAAAATTTGATAAAGCATGTTGTTCTCCTTTAACACTATCAGAGTTGTAAAAATAATGGAATATCTGGGCTCTGTCCTAGGCATCTTTTGGATCCCCTCAAGACAGAGGCTGTGTGACTTCCCTAAGTGATCATCAGTTCTGCTCCTACATCAGCTAGCTGTAGTGCTAATGTGTCTACTTTTAGTACAAAGAAGTTTTTTTTTTTCCCTCAGAATACGTGGTTCTGAACACCATTGTACAATTTTTTATTAACAAAAAAACAACAGTGCTTATGAAGAATTGCCAAAAAATGAAATGTCCTTAATTTTTGTCTTAGGACAAAGACAGTTCATTGGAGAAAGATGTGGGCCATACTCTTTTGGAATAAGGCCAACTGAGGTGCTAAAGGATATTATAACACAGCCATGCACGTGTATTCTAGAATCCACTAGGATAATGTTGGGATATTTTCCATCCTATTCTGCATCTAAGCTTTACCAAGATCTAGAGCAGAACACTTCTCTTTGGATTTGTGCAGACAGTTATTCTGCACCAGTTAGAAGATTTTCAGTCTGCTTCAGTTTCTCTTGTTCTTCCACAAGCAAGTATAGGTGGCTAGCATGACTTAGGTCTGTGGTTTTGAACTTTCATGTGCTGACCTTACTCTGGCTCCATTACATTTTCCCTACTCTCCATTTTTCATTTTCACTTAAGATACATTATTAATCAATGATTTCAAGAAAAAAAAAAGAATACATTTCAAATCCTTTTGGGGGCTTAGAGAGGAACTTTAAAGAATAAATATCATTTTTAAAAATGATATCATTGAAATATGATCTGATCTGTACATGTTTGGATGAAAAAGTAAAGTCACTATGTACTTTCATGTAATGTAGCACTTGAACCTGAGATGTGAACTGAGGCTGGACTGGCTCTGTCGGGGGCATGCTTTAGCTTGACCCTCAGACATTCTGGTGCATTAAGTTGCTTCCTTTCAAATAATAGGTATAAAAATATCCCTAAAAAAAGACTTAATTGTGCTGATAACTGTGTCAATAATACAGCTCCCTGTTGTTCCAGAAGCAGGAATTGCATATGTAGCCACTTCTTCCTTCTTTATTTACCTGATATAGATTCACAGTGCTCCTAGAGGAAAACATCATAATTTTTCCAAATGAGCAAGACTGCAGAGTACCCCGTGGACAGTTTCAGCACTTTTATATCTCACTGACTTATGTGTCCCTTGATAACTGAGCTCTTCTTTACCATTCATTAAAACTACATAAAAATCCTTCTCTAAAGCTATTCATTTGTGCTTTACCCCAAAAGTCACCTGTGCATTTAGTACCCTTCATTTTCATCTATGGCATTTAATACAGAGAAAGTAGAAGATACCAAGTGAGGTGAGAGGGAAAAGGTTCTTGCTTCATTTCTATTAAGAAATACAAAGTCACCACAAATAATAGATGGCTTCACTTAATGAAGTTAAACAAGATAGACTCAGAGCTTATTTTTATGTGGTTAAGGTTAGGGGCAATGAACAATAACTTTGCCATACTATTCTTTGCACAGGGTTTAGCTAAACCTTGGTTTTGGAGCCTTGTCTAATGCTAGTTACAGAGGCCTTATGCTTATTAGTGCATTTCCAATAAATGTAGAAATCCCATTTTTGTTCCATTTTATTTCCTAATGTGTATGTTTTTATTTGCTAACATTCTCCTTGTCCTGTTTTTTTTTTTTTTTGCAGCTAATGTCTACTTAATCAAAAAGCATATTGCAGAAAAACTAATGAACATTATAAAGATTAAATTTAAGTACAAAGAAAGAAGAATTTCCATGAAAAATAAGCAAATGATTTTGTATTCTAACTATATTATAATAAATATTTTGGGGCCTGATAATGACATGAACCTAGCCAAGTTATGAGAATAAATATTTCAATTTAGTGTCAATTCATTCTTTTAAAAAACTTTAATATCTGGAAAGGAATGCAAATTATATTCCAAATTAACTGATAACAAAGCAAAACATAAAATAGTCATGTGGAAAACTGAGGATGCCTGAGGTTAACCCTAAGTGAGAAAACTGTCAAATCTATTAATATTACATCTAATGTCAGCTATCCCAATAGTGCTGAACTAAACTACTTCTCATTTTACTTTATTTTTGCATTGAGGTAGCATGAAATTTAAAAAAAAAGAAAAGAAAAAACTTCCACTAATCTGGTACTTGACAGTGTTATTTCTTCTCTTTTCACCTTGTTTGATCTTTACAAAAACCAAGAAAGAACAAGGGAGACAAATAAGGAAACTGAGACTCAGGATGGAAATGATTTGCACAAATCTATACTACTGTCACATGATGGACATGGGCTGGCACCCAATTCAGTTGTCCTAAAAAGAAGTTTTATTTCTCTGTGCTCATTGGCTGCAATTTTTTTCCATTTGATCCATTTCTTTTGGAAATGTGCAGATATGCTTAGGGAAATATCTACTTTATTCAAAGGTTGTGTCTTTTCTATTAGTTACTGTCATTATCACGATTATTATTATTATTATTATTATTAATTTATTTTTTTACGAACCAAGGGTAATGCCTGAGTTTACTTGATAAGAAAACTGTTGAACATTTCCATACAAAGCAAAACCTACCCTTTTACGAAGTTTTTCTGCTGCATCAAGTTCAGCTTTAATAGTCTTATCAAATTTATTTAATAGCTTAGGCTTCTTCTTCTTAGCTGAAAAAAAAAAGAGGTTTTTAGTTTTAATTGTTTTTCTGTCTAGAAATAGTTAAGAATAGTAACTGACAAATAGCGAGAAGACTGAACTCAAACACATGAGTTCAGGGGCGAGCACATTCCAGCTCCCCTTCCCTTTTTATTTCCAGGGAGTACAATGGGGTGACAGCCAGTCCTACTGAGGAAGAAAACCCTTGCATATATAGGCTTACATATACAGGTGGCCCTTACATACACATGCATACCTGCATAAGTGGCCCTTAAAAGCATAGGCACACCTTGTTTTATTGTGCTTCACTTTATGGCACTTTGAAAATATAACATTTTAAAACAAATCCAAAGTTGTGGCAACCCTACTCCCAACAAGTCTATGACCACCACTTTTCCAATAACATATGACCACTTCATGAGTATATGTCACATTTTAGAATTTATCCCAATATTGCAAATTTTCTCATTTTTAGATCTGTCATGGTCAGGCAAACCTCTGACCAAGACAAACCTCAGCCTACCCTCCTCTATTGGCCATCCTTTCTTTCTTCCTTCCTTTTACTGTGCCACCTTTTTACTACTTCACCCCTTCAGTGTTCTGGAACAGAACTAATGTCTGTAGCTATCTCCACAAATCCATTTGTTTCTTTTCCTTCCTATTTTACTTGGCCCGGTTCTCATTTTATCTGACAGAGTTGACCCCTTCCTTTTTCCCAAATTGATTCATTTCCTTGACTTTTGTGTTGCCCACTGTCTTAGTTTTTCCTCTCATTCTCTGACCTCTCCATCTGCTCTGTGACTCCTTCTCTCCTGATCCCTTTGATGTTACATTCTTCAGGGTCAGTCTACAGCCTTTTCGTGGGGCCTTAATCACTCAATTTTCAAACTGAGCTACAAATTAACTATAGTATATTATCTCATGCATTGTAAAAAATCATAAATCCCAGTGCCTACCAACAAGATAACTCAAATTCAATAGGTGAGAAACAGGTTGTCATTCCTCACTCATCTATGCTTGCTGGTACTTACCCTACTTCAGAGAATTGCACCCTATTCACCAGTTGTCCAAACCAGAAACTTGGTTAAGGAAGGCAAGTAAAATGAGGGAAAGGAACGTGTGGAATTAACCGAAGGAAGACTGAAGGAAACTGACTGAAATTGCTACTTTTCCACAGTTGCTATGCCAGGGCTTCATACACACTATCTTTATTTTCTCCACCTTCTCCACCCAGAAGATCTAAGTCTACAGATGAGATCACTGAGGTTTGGAAAGGATGAGTCACCTTGTCATTCTGCTTCTCTCCCCCACCAGGGAGGAAGCAGGCATCTACTTCTTGCTTTCTAAGAAATGGAGCATTTCCTAAAAACTCTTAGCCTCCTGTCTCTCCCCAACAGAGGTGACAGGACTTACCCGACTGCTCAGTTAATGAGTGAAAGTGCTTGTGTAGCTAAGTCCCACCCTTCACTGCCTCCCAAGAGCACGTATACTGAGCTGGGCTGACTGCCTAGTGTGTATGCAAGGTAGGGCAATGCCTGAAATCCCAGAGGCGCAGCAGGCAAAGATAGGAGGGTCACTAGTTCCAGGTCAACCCCAGCAATGTATAAGGACCTAAGGAGAAGCTTTCTTAAAAAAGAAAAAAAGAAAAGCAGAAAAAGAAAATGAAAAGAAAAGCACATGTGTAGGACAGCCCTTCTCAGAAATGGGCATGCACACTGAGTCTAGCTGCTCACACAGGCAGGCAGAAAGATGTTCCCACACTTGGGCTGTTCTACTCTACCTAGAGTGATGGGTATATACAATTCCCGGGTTTAGCATAAAAAAAAAAAAAAAAAAAAATCTCTTAGTCCTAGTTATCCAAGCCCTATTCTTCAATCAGCTCTCATCAGAAACAGAGTTGACCCTCAGACTACCTTTTATTTCACTACTTTTGAATTAAAATTGATTGTTGTGATTTATATTTTGTTCATTGTATTTTCCTCTTCTTCCATTCCTGAACCCCGGTCCCTCTTTTGATGAAAACCATAAGCATCTAAAGGAGAGACTGAAAAAAATATCAAACAATGGGCTTCTACAACTGCATGTCATATGTTAGCATACATGTTGATAGGGAAAGTGAATCCAATTTGACTACAATGTGGATTTACCATGATGGGAGTTCATGTCTTGTCATGTCAGTACCAACTTATGTCTCCCAATTGTGTGTTTTCCTTTTGCAATCTGTCAGCAGGATGACAGCGGGATCTCCAGGAAAGCCTGGTGTGCACCCAAGACCCGGGTTTCCTGCAGACATCACAGGTTTTCCCCAATGTGTCTCCTTTCTAATCAATTCAAATTATCAAGTAATTGATAAGAAAGAAAGAAAGAAAGAAAGAAAGAAAGAAAGAAAGAAAGAAAGAAAGAAAGAAAGAAAGAAAGAAAGAGAAAAGAAAAAGAAAGAGTACTGGTAGTTTAGGACATCTAAAATAGTCAACAGTGAAATATAAAGTGCTTGTTAAGAAGCCATACTGAAAGTATCTTGGTGTCACAATATTTTAATAACAGCATAAAGAAGACAAAATATTAAAATCTCATTGCACCTTTTAATAAGAAATTACTGTCTCATTTTTTTTCATATAGCTTCCTATTTAACAGCTTGCAACTATTGATCCTGCTTGAAATTCAAGTTTTATTTTATTATTACTTTACAAAAATTATTTGAAATGAGGTCTCCTTATGTTACCCAGGCTGATCTTGAACTTGTGATCCTCCTGCCTCAGCCTCCAGAGTAGCTGGGATTACAGACATACACCATTGAATCCTATTTTTATTTTTAAGTGTGAAAAAGCCTGAGGCAGTTTTCTGAATTGTTAAAACAGATAAACAACAACAACAAAAATCTACACAGGCACAGAATCTTCTTATTCTGGAAAAGCAAATGGTCTAGCTGTAGAAACAATGATTCCTCCAGGATTCTGGTTATGAGGGGAGCTGGGCAAACTCTCTCAAGCTCTCTGGGCCTCAGAATTTCCATCCACAATGAGTGCCTGGGACTGCTTCTCTTAAGATCTCTTTGATCTCTGATATCCTGCATTTCTCATTTTCAATTGATTGAAATCATGTAAATAGTTTTTCAAAGTAGACCTATCAGGTATTGGAAAGGATTATTAATTCTGTTGAATCTGGATTTCTCAAAATGGTTTAGAAGAAATCTATGCTAAATTAATTTTTATTTTATTTTTTTAGTCACTGACACTACAAGTGTTTTGCCCTTTGCTAAAAACACAAAGGAGGAAAAATAAAAGCAGGAATCAGTTGTATTTCAAATCCTTATATCCTTTGCTATGCCATGGTTGAAATATTAAGAGAAAAAATAATAGTGAACAGTATGAGAGTGCACTCATGATGCACATCTAGACAGCATAAGGCTTAATGCTGATCCATCTCCATGTAGTCCAGGGAAGTTGCTTTCACAGTATAGTGCATGGGAGAAGTTGACCACCAATAAGAGACAGAATCTTCATATTACTCCATGTTCTATACTTGTGCCATGGAAGACAGAGACAAAAATAGCAATTTCTGCTACAAAATAGACTGAAAAGCAACAATTTCCCAACCAGTCTCCCTGTCTCCCACCTGTCCCCATGTTAACATTGTTCTGGGGATCTTTATGGAACACCATCTGTCCTTGTCACTGAATTGCTTAAAATACACTCATAGATTCCCCCAGAACATACAAAACACAAACTAAATGGCATCCTCGTGATCCTGATGCTAGTTTCCCACGCAAGAGAAATGACAACCATATCACAAAGATATACATGAACACTCTCATGCAGATGTTCAGTGCAGCATAGTTCATAAAGGCCAAAAGTAGAGAAAATGCAATGTCAACAACTGGTGAATGGATAAGCAATCTTCTGTGCATCCATACAATGAATGGATCAATATTCAGCAACAACATGGGTGACTTTCAAAAGTAAACGTTAAGGGAAAGAGGCCCAATTCAAAAGGCTAGTGACAATTCCATTTACAAAGCATTCTGGAAAAGGATAATCTGACACTTGTAGTGTCAGGGGCAGATAACAAGTGGCTCCAGAGGCTGGGATGGGGAAAGGTTGATTACAAAGGGCACAAGAGAATTTTAGGGGTTATAAAGTATGTTAGTTTTAGATGTTAGTTGTGGTTGATATACTGTGTCTAGATGTCTCTGCAGTTGTCAAAACTTAATAGAAATTTATAGCACAATAGGTAAGTCTTACTGTAGGTAAATTATATCTTAATAAATCTGATTTTTAATAAAAATTATAAGGAAATGACAAATCCTGGGATTCTCAATCCCTCTTACTGAAGGGATAACAATAAAAACATTGGGTCATAAAAATATTGCACTTTCTAAAAATAAAATGAACATTAGTTTTGCACTCCCTCCCTACCACATAAACCTGTTGGGGTGTAAGTAAAATTCAACCATGCTGAAGAGTGTCCTCTCTACACAAAGAAATAAAAATTAAAAAAAAAAAAAGGCATGTTATGTAAGACTCATCTAGACCCTCAACAACATTCATGTTTTTCTCCAGGATCCCAGCTACCATTTCTACTCTGGACTCTGGTCAATTGGCTTATGGATTTGTAATCTGCATTATGTTCACATTCTCAGCACATGACTCTGTGCACAGTGGATAGGGCCTCAGGAAGTTTGTTTGGAACCAACTTCAATGGTTCATTCACTCAAATATGTGTCAAAATGTCTCTGCCTTCCAGAGATTATGCTAGGTACTGAGAATTTGACAGGAACTTTCTCAAGGAGTCAACAGTATCATGTTAGCTTCTTGTCACTGTGGCAAAATAACACAAATAATCAATTTATAAGGAGGATAAGTTTATCTTGGCCCACAGTTTCAGAATTTTTCGTCTATGGTCAGTTGCTTTTGGGCCTGTGGCAAAGCAGCATATCAAAGCAGGGGCACATATAGAAAAAGGTGATCAACGTGCAGCAACCAGGAAGACAGAGAAGAGAAAAACAAGAAGG